CTTGTTGCTCAGAGCTCGCACTCTTGAGCAAGCTCTTAACCAACTGAGTCACTCGACCAGCCCAGTAGTAGTTTTCTTTTAACAAATATTTTTATGATGGAGCTTAGGGGTAGATGCCAATTCAAGGTCAGCAGTTTTTCAATATGGGCTTAGATAACAGCTATTTAATTGTAAAGGGTTTTTTGTTTGTTTGTTTGTTTGCTTTGTTTTATTTTGTTTTCTGTCTCACTGGGCAATTCTCGGTAGTTGTGCCTGTGCAAGTTGGGAGGAGGGAAGTTGCAGCTCTCACCTATTTCCTGGATGTAATCATGGAGGAGGCCATTCAGTGACTCACACAAGAATCTAGAAATAGCCCCTGAACATTTGATTAGATTACATATTCTATGCAATACATTATGTATTATATACAGCACCATCGACTGTGTAATGCACCTAAGTGTCATCATATATTATATACAGCTTTATAACATGACATAGTTTATTGCAGCTACAATTTATTGAGTATTAACTATGTGCCAGGCCTGCTATTAAGCATTTTTCTTATGTTTTCTCATTTAGTGTAGATGATGTAGTTTATGTAAATGATAATTCCAAATAACATTTGGTGTTAATAATTTCTTCTAAGCATTTCTCCTGTCTTGAGGATAAATAAGTTAAGACACATGGAAAAGAACCCAACAGCAAGGATATCTTTGCAAATAGATGAGAATAATAAAATAGGGATTATTAGATGTCCTAACATTTCCTCTCCCCACCCCATCCACCCTAACCAAATGCACACACAACACACACACCCACATCCTTAAAGGTCTAGTATAGAATCATTCAAGGGTCCTGTTATATTCTAAAATCTCCCTAGCTGGGATAATTGGCTTTGGAACCTCCCTTATCCCCATGACTCTTTCTCTCATATGCCAATATCTCTAACACATAGATAATTTATGAAAACAGAGTAGACACTTTTTAATAATTAAGTGACAGATGATAGGAGCTTTTTTAAAAAGCTGTAAGAGTGCTCGCTTCGGTAGCACATATACTAAAAAAGCTGTAAGAGCTTGGAAAAGGAATGGGGACTGAGATGGTTAGTCATCCATGTACTTATTTGGAACAACTCAGAAAGAATCTTCATCTTGTACCCTGTTCACCTGCAGCGGGTGCCCTGAAAAGTTTGCTTTCTTTGCGAGCTGGGGTCTTTTCAAGCAGGCATCTGGGAGCCTCAGTCATTTGGAGGGAGAACCACATGCCTGCCCCAATCTCAATCGCCCAGCATCACCCACTCTATTCTCTCCAAATTACAGTGCAAACAATAACACAGGTAAAATTAGTCAAGGCACTAATTATGGAGCGTAAGTGTGTAAAGGATATAGAATGATAAATGGCAAATGCAGAACACGTTGTGTCATATCATGTAATCTCTGTGGCTGCTGAGCCCAGGAACAAAGGGAGAATTGTGCCCTGTTTGTCTAACATGCTCTGTATCACAAATTGGAAATCCTTCCTAATTAAGATATTGTTGAATGTCCTTTGTTAGCAGATTTTAACAATGTTAATTAGGAGGTTAGAGTGATCATTGTTCATCTAGCAAACAATTAGGGTGATTTGCACTGTAGCTTTGGAGGGACTTCTGAGCAAGCCAGAAGTTTCCTTTCTGGAGGCATAGAAGCTGCCGAATGAAGGAGGAAACAGGAGGGGGGAGAGAGGGCAATGTTACTCTTAACATTTTTGGGCTGCGGGCCAAGGCAAAGCACGAGGAAATGTTAGCTGTGGGCCTGGCAGCTGTTAGAAAGCGGCGTTGGTCTTGACCTTGTGGAAAAACAATATTTGTTGATGTAAAGTCTATCTCCACAATGGTTCTTATCTTGGTAATTCAGGAGAGGGTGGTCAGAGAAAGTAGAGTCTTCAGGTCTCTTAATCCTCTGGTCCAGTAAGGATGCAGATGGGGTTCAGGACTTGCCACCCCAAAATATGGCACTCTGGCATATCAAATATATTAAACTGAAGTTGTCTGAGAAAAAAGCAAAGGCAGGAAGGTCACTGTGACCTCATCCCACCTTTCTACCTTGAAACAGGTCCTAAGATGCTCATGTGAGGGGTACCCTCCCTATGCCCAGAGGAGAGGACAATTCTTATCCCCAAGATGGAAGGACACTGAGAAGAATCTGGGCCTTGTTAATTTTCTCCAGTTCACCGCACTGACCTCACACCTGCTGTCCTATCACACTTCTCCAAGACTGCTCCCTCTTCATCAAACCTCGCATAACAATACTCAGAAGCCTAACCTTCTTCAGGTCTTCATTTCCCTATGAAGGCTTCTGTATCACATAAAGCTTAAATAAATCTGTATACCTTTCTCCTATTAATTTCTCTTTGTCAGTTGAATTTTCAGAGCCAGCCAGGGATCTTAAGAGGGCCAAGGAAAATTTTTCCTCCCCTAAAGCGTCTTCCAAAAGTAAGGAAAACAATGCCCTGCCATCATTTTTCAGAGTTTTCTCTTATTTTAGAACCAGATGAGTCTGGGACCCTCCTGCTGTAGCCCCCAAACCGGGCCACCTTTGCACCCCCTAATATACACACATGATGTAAAAACAGTTGGCAGTTTTTTTCTTTTCTTTTGAAAGGTAGTAGAATATGCCACCCCAAAATATGACCCTGGGAGTTCAGGATAAGCTACCCCAAAATGTGCTGCTTTGCTATATTGAGGATTTTGAGCTGCTGGCACTTGAAAACAGCAAATGGAGGAAGAGGCTTTCTCTGAATTCCCCTTATCTGCCTAAAGACAGATCCTTCTGAAAAAGGAATTCAGTTGTCATAAGTTCCCTCCCCAGGAGTTCCATCAACTGGAAAGATTGACTCTTATCACGGGAGAGGAGACTAGAAGTTGACTCTACACCCAGATGCACTGTCACAAACTGTCATACTTCCCATCTGTTCTTCTAAGGGCCCATTCATCTTTCCTAAAAATCATTTTCTCTTCCTTAAGAGGCCTCCATCCCTCGTCCCCTTTCCCTATTAAGATGGTATTTAAGCCTGAATTCTAAGCCACCTCTTCGAGTTACTCATTTCCCCCAGTATCTCCCATGTAGACATGAAGTATCCATGTTAATAAACTTCTGTTTGTTTTTCTCTTGTTAATCTGTGTTTTATTACAGGGTTCTCAGCTAAAAACTCAGAAGGGCAGATGGAAAACTACTTTTTCTCCTCTACACGTTCGTTCCTTTTTTATAACTCCCAGCCTCACAGTAGAGGTAACAGGATTAAAGGGGAAGAAGGAAGGAAGGAAGGAAGGAAGGAAGGAAGGAAGGAAGGAAGGAAGGAAAGGAGGGAGGGAGGGAAGGAGGGAAGGAGGGAGGGAGGGAAGAAAAAAGGGAGAGAGGGAGGGAGGAAGGGCTTTGTTTTGCTACTTTGATACAGCAAATATGAAAAGCAAAGTATATTTGGAGAGGAGACGAGAATTGGCTGTTTGAAAACTACCAGAGTACTTGAGTTGCTTTGAGAATCTCATCCTCTCGAAGCAAAGGTGCTTATGGAGAGGAAGGGCAGGCATCTCAGCGAAAGGAGGTATTGATTGGAAATTGAACACAAACACTCTGAGTTCTATTCCTGGCTCCATCAATGATTTCTCAATACAAACTCAGGAAGAGTCACTTAACTAAAAGTCACACCTGCTTGGAGATGGTACCAGGTATCTTGCTGTAGTGATTTTCTAACTACGCACACACAACTCTAGGGGAAAAAAAAAAATCTAACAGATATCTGGCAGCTACCTGGTGCCAGGCACTGTGCTAGAGACTTTACATAAATTTAATCACAGCTAGCACTTAGCTCCAATCTAAACAGCCCTGAGGCCCATTTAAGTGGCTCTCAAGTCTGCTTTTAACCTTGGGGAACCCCATCTGCTGGGGGATAAAAAGCTCTTTTATGTACTACACCCTCACAGACCACCCACCCCAATAATTTGTGCTTTGTCAAAAAACCTTCCGTCCAATTAACAGGCCACAATTTTGATGAAACAAATGGTGAAATAAATTATTCATGCATGTCAGAAATCAAATATAGATCAGGTCATCTTGTAAACTGTTACAACGTCTATAATTTGTTTTAAAGTACTTGAGCATAGATAATGTAATATTATGTATGTGTTAGCTTAATTTACAACCTAAGTGTAGGAGTTGCTCTAATAAGAATTTACCTTTTTGGTGTGGGAAGTCAGAGTTCTCATGGGGAAATCCAGCTAGAGTAGTCTCCCCTTATCCATGGGGGATAAGTTCCAAGACCCCCAGTAGATGCCGGAAACTGTGGATAGTACCAAACCCTGTATATACTCTATTTTTTCCTACACATACATACCTATGATAAAGTGCAATTTATGAATTAGGCACAGTAAGAGATTAACAATAATAACTAATAATAAAAAAGTTATAATAATAACTAAAAATAAAAATAGAACAATTTTAACAATATCTGTAATAAAAGTTACATGAATGTCATCTCTCTCTCTCTCTCTCTCTCTCTCTCTCTCTCTCTCTCTCTCTGATAACAGAGATGGCTGGCTACTAAATGACTCACGGGCAGAGAGCATCTACAGTGGGCATGAAGGACAAAGGGATGATTCACATCCCAGGTGGAATTGCATCACACTACTCAGAATGGCATGCGATTTAAAACTTAGGAATTATTTGTTTCTGGAATTTTCCATTTTGTATTATCGGACTGCAGTTGACTGCAGGTAACTGAAAGCTTGAAAAGTGAAACTGCGAATAAATAGGGACTACTGTACTATAGATTCACTTCCATTGTCTTATCTTGATCAATACAGGACAGTTTGCAAAAGAGCATGGCCAAGGTCAGAAATGGGTCTTCATTGGTCAAGTTAGTGGCTTGTTAATTTGTGTACTGGCTGTTATAAATGGGTTCTCATCGGTACAATTTGATCTGAGAGTTGCGTAACTATTAAGTGTAGAGATGAACTCACTTTTCTGTCTCTTTGCACTCACATACATATGAATTCATGGGCGCCTTTGTTCTCCCAGTCTGCTGTGTTTGTTTGCTCTCCATTAGCATATCTAGGGCCTGGCACAGAGTAGGTGCTCAACACACATCCCTTGAATGAATTATGAAAACTGCTCTGTCACAATAGGGGAAAATTCATCGGGTAGAAAACCTGTCCACTTTTTTCAAGACCCAATGGAAAAACTTGGCAGCTTTGTATTTTCCTCTTCAAATTTCCAGACAGGGCTTTCATGAGTTGGTAAGTGTTGCAGTTTGAGCTCTTCAAAAAACACCAGTAAACCATTTACTTCCACTTAGAACTCTTGGTCATCTTAAAGCCGGTCAACTTTTCCAGCTGTCTTTATCCAGGAATAGCAGCAAGGAGACCATAAACTCATTCAAATTTAGGCACACAATACACAAGGGGAGTGGAGAGAATATTCAGGCTAGGGAATTCTGATGGCTCATTACCATGACAAAGGTTGTAACAACTTGGACAGGAAGCTGAACAAAAGGCATCCACTGTTCTATTTGCAATTCTAGGATTGTATTTGTAATCTCTCTTTGCAGGAGAAAGAGACTGCCAGTAAAAGGATGAAGCACAATAGGAAGGGAGAATCCACAATGCTGAGAGAGACCAAAGGGATCAGTGAGTATGCACAAGTGCATACACACACACACACACACACACACACACACACACACACACACGTGCGCTATATGTGTGTACCTTCCCTGTGTCTGTACACATTTGACAAGAGTAAATTATTGTCACGGGTAAGAATTTACCATTATTGACCTATAAGATGCCTTTTAAAAATATATTCAACATGGCTGGGATGCCTATTTGAAGTGAAGAAGCATTTAAGGAAAATGAACAGGCGAAGCCTCAATATTTTCATAGAGCAGAGCAAGCCTCTTTACTTCGTTCACTGTGGAGAGCCTGAGAGTAAGCTAACATTGTAACCTGCTAAGTAAGATACCATGAATGTGATTAATAATGCAGAGGGGAAAGGCTCAAGAGTTATTGTGCTCTGTAGGTTTTGGTGTCAGGGAGGCATTAATTGTCCCGAAAGTCACTGACAATTTTGGTTAACAAGTGATACAAATGGAATGGCTCAGTCTGCTGTTCTTTGGGGTCCTCACTTGCCCGTAGCTGCTAAACGCTGCAAATTCTGATTCATTGCCATTTGATCCCCTTTTGTTAGCTATCTAGTCAATAACTATAGTTGGGAAGTGTGTAGTGGCAGGGACCATTCAAAAAATGACTCACCATCCCCAGAGCTCGAAAAGCAAAACTATTACCTTTATTCAGCTGGAAAAGAATTATACCCACAGTCTATTCTATTGTCCCACTATAAACCAGGCTCTTAATTGGCACTTTGGCATCAGTATTTTAAAAAGTTTATAATGACAATTTAGAAGTGAGGCATCATGGAGGCTGAAGTGACTTCACTTCCAGGTTAATCTTGCCTTGAAATGTTTGCATGTGCTGTGACTGTATCCGCCTCCTAGGAAATGTGTACGGCTGCTCTCAGTGGAGGGCAGACAGGGTTGCTCTTAGATTACTGGGCTGCAGTTAATATGCTGCACTAATAGTATTCTCTGATGCATTGATCTTCTTCCTTCCACCCCTCTGGCCCCTGATGGACATTAACAAAGTTGGCACCTAACCACACTTCTCATTCTGCTTCCTTTGGTTTCCATCTTATTAGGGGCACATGAATACAAATGTCAGTTTGTCAATCCCATTTATGCTTACAAAGTGAACACCTGAGGATGAGACAGACAATTAACATTGAGCAAATTCAATGCAACAAACATTTATTGAACCTCTGACTGTAATTGATCGAAAGTGCTGAGTCATTAACAAAAGCACTTTTGTGACTTTCCCAACAAAGTCAAGGTGATTCTTCCAGTTAGCCGTTTGGGTATGTGTTTATGTCTGTCAGCGGAGCCTAGGAAGTTTGGTGTTGATGATATCTAACTGTGGGAACTAAGCGACCTACAGTTCAATTCAGCTCAGGTGAGTGCCAGTCTGCAGTCTCTTAACTTGCGTTAAGACTGACTCTGGAGCTTGTATGACTGGACTTGATGGAACGCCTTATGTAACATGGGCAGTTGTGGAGAGTATATCTCGACTACAAAAGTATTGAATGTATGGATTTCAGAACTGTGGTATTTAATTATTCTATCTCTATTCTTCATTCACCTCGCCTGCCAATCCTCAAACAGTAAGCATCATCAACTCTTTTTATACACATGTAAGTGAGGATAAAATCTTTCTCTCCTATTTTTCTAGATTCTCTAGCTGGGACCTTGTAAACTAGACTAACAGACAGATTAATAAAAGAAAAACACACAAATCTATTTAATGTAACCTTTATGTGACACAAGAGCCTTCATAAGAAGATGAAGGCCCAGAGAAATGGTGAAACCTGAGTATTTTTATACTAGGTTTTAGGAAGAGTGGATAGTTGTGGAAAAAACATATTAGGACAAGAGTATGAGTTATGGGTTGTAAACTAGGGAAACTTAGTAAAACCTTTTCATTTGGATTATTCTTAGAGCCCGTCCATCTTTGGTGATAAGGATGCTCCTTTCCTCCAGGTATAGACCCTATCCCATGAGGGTCTTATGATCTGCTTCAGGGTAGAAGAGGCGAGGTCAGAGACTCCTTTCAGCATTTGCTGTTTCTGTCGTGGCAGTGGGCTCTAGACAAAGGCCTTTCCAGACCATGTGGTCACTAAGGATTTTGCGCGGGCTTCAGACAAAGACATTCCTGGACTGTATGGTCAGCAAGACTTCCACGTTTAATATTTCCAGATTCCTACCTCACCCGGGAGCCAGTCAGGAACTGGCACAAGGCCACATAACCTAATAAGGAACCTTAGTTGCTAACCCGGAAACTTCAGGATATATAGCCCTGAGTCCCACCCAGGTCGGGGCTCAGCCTCTGGATGTGAATCCACTGAGCCAGTGCCAGCATTAATAGAAGTTGCTTCCCACGCCTTGGTGTCCTGTCTCTCTCTCTGGGTTCCCAGCAACACTGTGACGTTTGATTTAAAATGATCAATATGCCAAGTTGCCATATTTTGGGGTAGTGTGTTATGAACCATATCTATATATCTATATGTATACCTATACCTATATCTATATCTGTATCTATCTATCTATCTATATCTATACCTATACATCTATCTATCATCTATCTATCTATCTATCTCTATCTATCTATCTATCTATCATCTATCTATTTATCTATTATTTAAGAAATCATCTGCTTCTTAAATCTCTTTACTCTTAGGTAAGGCAGTACCCATTTTATAGCAGAATGATGCATTAATCAAGGAAAATATAGTTAATTTTTAAAAAGTCTATAAAGAGAATTTTCTTCAAAGCCAAAAGGATAGGATAAAGCTGTTTTTCCTTCTTGTTAATATACCAGGGTTAGCAACATTTTTTTTGCAAGCTGGAAATAGAGAATTCAGAAATGTTTATTAGCATATGAAACCAATATAAGCTGATAAATGTGCTTTTAAAATAATAGTGCTTGTATTAATTGATGTATTTTTCTGAAAATCAGCTTATCAATAGACATCAAAGGCCTTTTAAAAATGTGCACACCGATTTACCAAGTAATTCTCTTCATAAAAAACTACCAAGGAAATATAACTGGACAAATGGACAAAGATGTATGACTGAAGACATCAATTTTGACTTGTCATAGTGAGGACACATTAGGAAAATTTTAATGTCCATCAGTAGAGGATTGGTTGAGTACACAGTGGTTTATTCATGCAATAGAAAATGTTATAATAATTAAGAATGCTGTTACAATAAAAGTATATATATGTTATCTTGGAATAATTCACACAGTATGTGATCAAGTGCAAATATCAAATTACAAAATTCTTTATAATATGACTACATTATTGTAAGAAAAACACTGGAAAGTTACACATAAAAAGTTAATAGCAATGTTCCTGAAAACCAGTGAGTCAAAAGAGAAATTTTTTTAAATCTTGAAACAAATGAAAATGGAAACACAACATGTCAAAATTTACGGAATACAGCAAAGGCAGTTCTAAGGAAGTTTATAATGATTAATGCTTACGTTAAGAAAACAAAAGATCTCAAAAAACAACATATCTTTACCTCAAGGAACTAGAAAAAGAAGAACAAACCAAGCTCAAAGTTAGTAGAAGGAAGGCGATAACAAAGATCAGAGCAGAAACAAATGAAGTAAAAAAAGAGAAAACAATAGAAAATGTCAACAAAACTAAGAGTTTATTTTTTGAAAAGATAAACAAAGTTGACAAATCTTTAGCTATGCTTACCAAGAAAAAAGAGAGAGGACTCAAATACACAGAATTATAAATCAAAGGAGGGACTTTACAACTAACACCACAGAAATACAAAAGATTCTAAGAGGATACTATGAACAATTATATGCCAACAAATTGAACAGCCTAGAATAAATGGATAAGTTTTTAGAAACATACAACTTACTGAGACTGAATCATGAAAAAAATCCAGAAAGAGCAGACCAATAACAAGTAAAGAGATTGAATCAGTAATCAAAAACTTTTCAACAAAGAAAAGCCCAGGGCCAGATAGTTTGAATTCTACCAAACATTTAAAGAGGAATTAAGGTCAGTCCTTCTTTAAATC